CTCACAACACCAAAGTCGAGACTTGCAACAGGGGTGGGGAATGGGGAGGTGGAGGTAGTCCAGCATAGACAAACAGCCATCCATTCCTGCAGCCGACGGCGCTGTACAAGGACACGCTCGTTCACGCTGGGGGTATGAAGCGGCGAAGGCGTGGGATGGGGGTAGGGTGTCCTTGTGGTTGGGGGAGAGGAATGCAAGAGAGTCTCGCTGCCTTGTTCTTCAGGGGGGAGTTGTTGAGCCCAGCAGAGGCCTTGGCCAAGGCCCGTGCTGATTAGGGGGGAGCCAAAAGAAGATAGAATAGGGTTGTTTGGGTTTTTGTGCGAGAAGCTGTAATTTCGCAGCTCCTCTAATGTCCACGCTGGTCCCCGCTGTCTAAAATCCTGTTCAAAGCCTTGAGCTCCTCCGTGATGTTATCCAATCTGCGGTCCATAGTCACGGTGATGTAATCAAATCTATGGTCATTTGAGACTGTGATGTTATCCAGTTTGCGATCTATAGCCATAGTCTGAGCGCCAACAGCTCTGCCAAGACCATCAATCAATTTGGCCAGCCTATTGGGGCGTTTTCTTCAGTTTCCGATAAACCAGGGCGATGCCTAATCCAATCAGCATAAGACCCGTTATCAAGGTTCCGAATAGGTAGATATCTTCGATGTCCTCCACGGAAAGAGCTGTCAGACACACGACCCTCCACTTCTCCCATCCGTCCATCGTGTAGCCAGCTGCGTATGTTCCTGCAGGACAGTCAGGTTCCCCCGAACCTGCGCTCCTCTGCGAGAAGATGGTGTCAATTGCGTGGAGAGACCAGTTGATCAAATCCATAATTTCCTTAGTTTTGAAGAGCAGGGCTGAGAGGGTCTCTCGAGTATAGACAGTAAGACAGTAGACTAGACGAGACGAGAGAAGCAAAGCAGGGAAGATAAAGGGAGGGAGAGGGAGAGAAGTGTGTCCGCCTCCGCTGAGAGCCAGGTTAAAGAGAAAATTATTATGTTCTAAATAAAACTATGTTCTGCTTTGTATTTTGATGTAAAATTTCTGCTAATGTAAAAGTGAAAGTAAAATGCAGGGTTCTTTTTAAACTAGGCTATTTAAAAGCGAAGGAAGGAGGGAAAAGGGACAACTCAAACAAACTAAAAGCAAATAACTGTTTGTTGCCGAATTGCTGCAAATTTAAAAGTGAAAGTAAAAGTTTAAAGGAAAAGACGTAAAACTCAAACGTCTAGACCATTGTTGATACCGCTATTGCCGGTGTTGTTAAATGTCAATTAACTGGTGAGGAAATTTTCTCATCGCGGCAACCCAGATGAGATTTGTTTTAAAACCATTACAAAAAAAAAATAATAATCCTTAATTTTTTTTTTTTTTAATGGTGGTATATTTCATAGGCTATATTTTATTTATAATATACCATTTTAAAAAAGCATGCATTTTAACTAAAATATAACAGCTCATAAATATATATGTAATTCAATTCCACATTACATTCATGATATATTTGAATGCCAAACAAAAAGCATATTAATTTTTGTAAACTAGTTGTGTGACGAGACACTTATCCCACGAGACAAGACTTTTAGACTTTTTAAAATAAATCCTCAATTGTAAAATATATTGGAGGAAAAAAAACCAAAAAAAAAAACCTGTATTTAATTCAACAAAAATATTCCAAAAAATGTAGGTGCATTTTGTAATCAACTTTTTGATTTGTTACATGCAGTAATAAACAACACGTGAACACTGGAAAAAATTGTGTCACAAACTGACAGGCAAGTAATTAACAATAAATAACCAAAAACATTTTTTTTAAATAGTATAAATAAAAACAAACAACACAAATATTCATTTAAACGCAAGGTAAGTGATTTTTGTGAGTCGGGCCGAATACTTAAACAAACTTGCCTACAGCAAAAGCCGTGCCAGCTTAATGCATATGGTTGAAGTATACTTTGGCCTTTAAGTCATTTTCATCATCAGGAGGGCTCGTGCAAGGCCACCAATTGACTTGCACTCTTTCAGCATTCTTCTTGCGCATACACTGTTGTACGCGGACAGTCTGTGCAGTGTAAAATAAAGCAATCATTGGAAACTATTTGGAATTTGTATAAGCAATTCATAAATAGAATGCGGCAGCAGTTTCCTGTTATGATTTGTTGCGCCGCGTCATACCACTATCGCGAGGATATAGCCAAGTTCTCGCGTCTCGCGAGACACATTGAATCTCGTCACACCCCTATTGTAAACATGAAAAAGCATACTGTGTTTATCGCATTCATCGTGTCTAAATGTTAGCTATTTTTCACAGAAAGTCAGCTACAGAAAGCTATGGAAATGATCATTTAGAAGCATTAGTGTAGCATTAATACTTAATTTAGTTAGTGTAAACTACTGGCTTACATTAAAACTACCACACCAGACACGAACAGCGCGAGTTGCGACACGTTGCATCAAAGCACATATATTCTGTTATTATCAGGCGTTCAGTACCTGAGCACGAGCACTACAGTAAACGGATGCCGTGTTCTCTGCCTGCCGTGCACGCGCTACAGATAAGGTGACAAACAGATATAGAAAGTGCACTTTGATATATCCAGTGTAGAGACGCATTAGGATGTGGCAGACCATTTTGTTTTGTAAGTTTCAGCGTTTACATTTTTGGTGTAAACTCGCCTTAACCAAACGCCCCCCAAAAACAGCTCAGCGCCCCCCCACTCACCACATACTCTTTCACCATATTGTCTGGGTCCTCGTTGAGGTATACGCAAAGCCCCTTGATAATACACTCGCGCCCAGCATCGACATCATCATCCTGGCCAAGGGTGACAAGAGCAGAAAAGTTATGAAATACATTTTTACCCCCAGATCTATATAAATGATTCGATTGCTCATTGAATTCTAAACTCCCAGTAGGTGCTTAAGCCACAAAAGTGTTTCAGTTGCCATTATTACTATTCCCAACTTAATAACTAACCTAACTAAATAGCCTAAATAATGAATCTAATGCTAAATAAAATATTATACTGCACAAGCAAACTGGACTGTTAGTCATGAGATAAATCTGTGGATGCATTCTTTCCATAAACATAGGCTACACGTACGTGTTTTTGTCGTAGCAGGGGGCAGAACAGGCCAAGGAAGCATTGCAGTAGAAGTTGTCTTTTTTCCAATTCAATTTAAATAGTTACATCCCTATTGTCCAGATGAATCAACTGGCCCCAGTTCTCTAAAGATCAGTGTTTTTCCCAATAATATACACGATTGACAAAATCTCTAACTTACTTGAGCCATGGGTTCCATGATGGTCTGCAGTCTTCTTTGCCCTCCTCGCTTCTGAAATACCTTTAGAAGTTTGTCAGACAGAATATCGATCTGTGACAAAAATCTGGACTGCAGGGCCATGGTGGTGATGCGCTTAAACTCAGCATTTATCTGCAGAAAAAAACAACACAAATAAACAAAAACAAAAAATAGAAAAAAACAAATGTAAATACTTGTAAAAAATAAAGTTGTACCACATTTTGTAAAGCCATACCCTGAGGAAGCGTAAAATATTATCATTAAAGTAGTAATTTCAAAATTAAACTTATGATTGTATAAGTAACTTAACTATTTTTGTTCTGCTGCTTTTAAATACCTTTTAATGTTAACAAATGCAACCTTACTATAAAGAAGGGGTTCCCATGCAGACCCCCTCCCCCCTTTGTTAATGACATACCTCGCTTACATCAAAGAGAGCTGGCCATCTTGCCTTGAAGTCTTGGATCATGGGTGTGTGACGAACCACTTCATATCTTCTATGGGAAAATGTCTTCTCCATTTTCATCCTAATCACCTCCCTGTTGTTGTTTTTCTTCACCTCGGAAAGAAGTGCCACTCTCAGATTCTCCAGGCTCTCATCAGATTCTCCGATGGGATGAGGGGGGCAGTAGTTTACTTCAGAACGCCGTGGTTTTTTGATGGCCACAGCAGCATTTGCTTTATCTGCTGGTTTGTGCTTCAAAGAATTTACAAGTACCTCAGGGCATCCCAGTTTTCTCAAATGAGTGCGGTAAATTGCAAGTTTATTCTTTAAGCTAGCTTTCCAACCAGCGTATCCGGTCAGGGAGCCTTTCTCCTTGAGACAAGGATGTTTAGAGATAAGGGCCTCCCCAACGACGTTGAACTCCTTATCAGTGGCATAAACTTTGTATTTGACAATTTCTTGAACCAGGCCTTCAAGAATGTTTGACTTCAATTTAAGATCTGGAATAAGAAATGTACCCATCTCTTTGTATGCTGCATTGCCTCGCTGAAGTTTCAGCTCTGCATCAAAGGAAAACTGAGGGACATGGAAGATGGTAGGCCAAAATTGTCTAGAAGTAGATGTCTCGGACTCTGTTGTGGAAAGTGGGTTAGTGTCAACGCACACACTAAACATGGATGAGGTTTCATCCACTAAGGGGGGACAAAAAACAGTCTCTGAAGTTGAAGGGATATCAGCACATTGCAAAGCTGAAGCCTCTGTCATGGGGACTATTTTGATTGTCCCTCTGTCCTGTATTTCATCAACTGAAGTGAGGTTCAGGAACTCATTTTCAAATAGTGCATCCATAAACTGAAGCCTGAAGTTAGTTTTAATGCCACACTGTCTTTGTACCTCGGTCACAAGTTCACTGACAGAATCTGGAAGTCCATTTTGAAAGTTCAGTCTTTGACTGCTGTTATTGCCCAGGATCACTTTAAGAATGGCTGGAGCATGCGTCATTATGTACGTCTTAATCTGTGAAGATAAAAAAAATATATATTTTTCTTCGAGAATTGTTGCATATTGATCTATTTTGACCTACATTTTTTCTTATAACATTAAGATGCATGTAAAGATACTTCAGGTTTGTCAACTCAAATAAATAAGCAACATAATTATTCACTATCATTATAATAACTGATGATTAGTAGGGCTGGATTTTGACAAATTTCTTGATTTGATGCTCATTCACAAGCTTGCGATTTGATTTAATTTAATTAGATCCAATATCAATTATTTTGGATATATATCAGGTATAACATGCTAAATTTTGTCAAGGGAAAAAACTAAAATTAATGATGTAAAATAGACATGAGTCATATTGAATCAATGCATGAATATTGAAGGGTAACACTGACTGATTTGCGATATGCAAAATTACAATGATGTTTTAATTAAGTTTTTATAATAAAGTCACAATTAAGTAAAATGCTCGTCTCTAGAGTTTATTTTTCTGGCTGACTAACAAATTTATGATTACAGAATATGCTGAGGCAAATGTGATTGTTGCAATTAACACTGAATAATAATAAAAGTCATAAGAATTTGATTGCTTTAATTTGTGATTGATGTTAACCTTCACAATATATCCAAACTAGATTTCCCATGAGCAGCAGCGTGAGAGAATCGGAAGAGCATGCTTGGACCGTTGGCCTGCTGCCAGCCATCTATGTTTTGTTAATCCTTTCATCGTTGTTTGTTTTCTCAAAACTTTTTTCAGTAAACGCAGCAATATTAATACCGTATTGTGTTTTGGGGAAAAAAAACAGTTTAATTGTTGATGGAAAAATAAGTGCTTGGCATTACAATGAAGTTAATAAGAGTTAAATTGTTGCTAGACTAACTCAAAATCAATATGCAACAATGATACTAAGAATGTAAAGTGGCATGCTCATTGAAAGTCAAGCAAGTCAATAACAGAATAAGAAAACTCTTGAAAGCAGTTATGTTAGCATGCACAATATTGACCATTTCTACAAGACCAAATATTGCACAGACATATAAAAAAAGAATAAAAACTAATTTCCACTAAGTTAACCAACCTTTTATAAGGATATGCCTTTTCAGGGTCACCATGCGGTTTGATCCAACCATGTAATCGGCCAATGGATAGGTGTCGGTGAGTTCACTGAGTGCCAAAAGCTTGACTTCTCTTGAAGGTGACAAGTTCAGTTCAAAGGCTCTATAGTGTTCACTGTACCACCCCAACAGCACTTTCACAATGAAGAACAAGTTGTCATTGATGATACACATCTGAATAATTTCAGCAAACTCCGCTAAGCCACCTGCTGATCCATGAGCAACTACCATACCTTTGCTGTAAGTTATGCCACTAATTGATGCATTCTTTGCAATATACACTTTAAATGTGTTTGGGTATTTAGACCTAATAGCCCGGGCCACTTCCTCTTTCAGTACATCAACTGGCACAGTGGACACATTAGGTACATCTAGTCTTGATTTACCATAGAATGGTGAGTTGATGTGGAAAGCGATCATCGGCTGATGTTTTGAAGCCAAAGTCAATGGTACATTCTTAAAGCAACTAGTGCGTTTCAGAATCTTCTTAAAGAAACCATGTTTGGCTTCGAAACGCATTGTCCAGACAGCCGTTAGAGGACCAAAATACCTCAACATCTGAGGGTAATGTTCAAGGTAGTGGTGCTTTGGTAGAAGTCTGACATCAGGGAACAGTTCTAGGTACCTCTGTCTGTGTTCAACTATTTTGCTTTCAAGGTACGAGATGGATTCATCATTATGTACAGGAGCAACCACTAGCTCAACTATATCTTTTAAATGCATCAGTACTTGCCATGAAGGTTCATTTTCTGGCACGTATTTTCCAATCAGAAATGGGAGCAATCTCAGCAAGCTCCAGTTCTCATGAGCATTGCCCCCAATGGTCTTCCGAGCTAAACTCTTTGGTACAATGTGTGGCTTATTTGTCTTGTCTGACCATTTATAGGGGAATGACAATATAGCTTTATTTAGGTCATCGAGTGTGAACAATTTCTTTGAAATCAATAATGCCAAGCAGTAAGCCAGTTCAACCGGCACAATGCCCTCAAATAAGTCGTGAGCAATGTCAGGGGGAAAGCCAGTGGTAACGTGAAAATGACTCCGATTTTTGGTAAAAACGCACTCTTGTTTTACTCCAAAACACTGTTTGCTGTTCTCTGAAGCTATTTTAACATGCTCTGCATGAATCTCTTTAGTTCTTGGGCTAAAAAACCCAGATGCAACACAGTGAGACCTAATGTCACAAGTTTTTGCTGTGCAAAAACAAATCTCCCGAAAAGCTCTCAGTGAAGCCAGCGATACCGTGTGCTCCTAAATGATCTGCCACAATACTGTGCACTGCACCTTTAAGATATGTACCTAACAATGGGACATACACACCATGGTCCTCCAGAGTTTTAAGATCATTCAGAAGAGGTTCCAAAACTTTGTGATAGCCATATTTTTTTACATCATCACTTTTGCAGAGCACGGCAAGATAAATAGATGACAAAGATGAGTAAGAGCCTGGTGGAAGGTTTGCCAATGTCCAGTACAAACCACAAAGTTTGTGTTTTTTCCTAGACATGCCTAAGGGATTGCAAGTCTCGAAATCATCAACATACAGACAAAGTGAGATTCGCAACTCATCACTGTTCAAGAAGCAGTTCTTCTTAAAATGCCAACCATCTTTAGGGGACCTGTATTCATAAGATGGGTCAAAATTAATGTCTTCCTTTCCTCTATGATTTTCAATTACCTTGTCAAGAATGACTTTTCTATTAAAAATTTGCTGTATTGATTTTAACAGCGGGACATACTGAAAGGACCGTTTGGTTGTATGATCAAGTATGTAAGTAACTGGTTCCACAACATAAAATTTTTCTTTGTAATATTGTTTGCGTTGATACGCAGTGCCAAGAGGGCCACCTTTTTCAATAGCTTTGGCAACAGGGTTAGAAGAACAAATTACAGTAACGATTTCTTCAACTATAGATTTGTCAATTTGGAGGTTGTGACTCTTTAATATGTTGGTTACAAAACCTCTAGATACTGGGACTGATGCAGAGCTCAGTAAGTGGTAAACTTCCTGTAAGAATTCATCAATTGCTGTGCTTGGCACATGAATCAAATATTCTAACTTCAGTAAGGCTGCTTCAAGCTGCTGCTCAACATCAATTGAGAGTGCCTTGTCTTCATTATTCCAATCAATGGATGTAATAGAGTCCTCCTCTGTACACTCCTCATCCAGACCATCAAGAAATGAATGATCTAATGACGGAGATGCTACTGTAGTTGTTTTCACTATTCCTGGTTTAAAATCAGCTAGAGTGTGAGGTGTATGTTTCCGACTCTTGTGAGCTTTAAAGGTCCCATAAATACAAGTGTGAAACCCACAACCAGCAAACATACAACTAACATTTTCATTTTTCTTTAGATGTGAATGAATATGAACAAAGTACTCCCTTTCATTTGGCAAGTTTTTGCATGAACATAAGTGGCAGCTAAAAATAGATAATTCTTTTGGTTTCTGATTAGCCTGTGTAGAGTGCACTCTGCTGTGATGTACTACTAAAGCGTTCCATGTCTTAAATGTGCATGGGCATTCTGAATACGTACATGGATAACGGCTTGTACGTCCAAAATGAGGATGCTTGGCTTTATAATGGTTTAGTAGTGCCAATCTGCTGCAAACTTCTACTGAGCAACCTTTACACCGCCACATTCACTAGAGAGGGAGACAGAAAAAAATAATGAATTTAGGAATTAAGGAACAATAAAAACAATCAAATATAAATGCAGTATATTGACAAATACTCACCACTACTATAGAGCCTTTGCAAATAAAATTGCACATGAATAGTATCTCGTTTATGAGTATCTGGTATCTGTTAAAAAAAAAAAAAA